GGCAGATCTGTTTGGCGGGTGTTTGAAGGCTGGAGGGTGTTTCTGACGACTGGCAGGTGTTTCTGAGGGTTGGCGGGTGTTTCTGAGGGCTGGCGGGTGTTTCTGACGGCTGGCGGGTGTTTCTGAGAGCTGGCGGGTGTTTCTGAGGGCTGGCGGGTGTTTCTGAGGGCTGACGGGTGTTTCTGACGGTTGGCGGGTGTTTCTGACAGCTGGCAGGTGTTTCTGACGGCTGGCGGGTGTTTCTGGTGGGTGTTTCTGAGGGTTGGTGGGTGTTTCTGAGGGCTGGCGGGTGTTTCTGAGGGCTGGCGGGTGTTTCTGACGGCTGGCGGGTGTTTCTGACGGCTTACGGGTGTTTCTGGCGGGTGTTTCTGAGGGCTGGCGGGTGTTTCTGAGGGCTGGCGGGTGTTTCTGACGGCTGGGGGGTGTTTCTGTCGGCTGGCGGGTGTTTCTGACGGCTGGCAGGTGTTTCTGACGGCTGGTGGGTGTTTTTGACGGGTGTTTCTGAGGGCTGGCGGGTGTTTCTGGCGGGTGTTTCTGACGGCTGGCGGGTGATTATGGCGGGTGTTTCTGACGGCTGGCGGGTGTTTCTGGCGGGTGTTTCTGACAGCTGGCGGGTGTTGCTGGTGGGTGTTTCTGAAGGCTGGCGGGTGTTTCTGAGGGCTGGCGGGTGTTTCTGACCGCTGGCGGGTGTTTCAGACGGCTGGCGGGTGTTTCTGACGGCAGGCAGGTGTTTCTGACGGCTTGGGGGGTGTTTCTGACGGGTGTTTCTGAGGGCTGGCGGGTGTTTCTGGCGGGTGTTTCTGAGGGTTATCGGGTGTTTCTGACGGCTGGCGGGTGTTTCTGACGGCAGGCGGGTGTTTCTGAGAGCTGGCGGGTGTTTCTGACGGCTGGCAGGTGTTTCTGGCGGGTGTTTCTGAGGGCTGGCGTGTGTTTCTGACGGGTGTTTCTGAGGGCTGGCGGGTGTTTCTGACGGGTGTTTCTGAGGGCTGGCGGGTGTTTCTGACGGGTGTTTCTGAGGGCTGGCGGGTGTTTCTGAGAGCTGGCGGGTGTTTCTGACGGCTGGCGGGTGTTTCTGGCGGGTGTTTCTGAGGGCTGGCGGGTGTTTCTGACGGCTGGCGGGTGTTTCTGAGAGCTGGCGGGTGTTTCTGACGGCTGGCGGGTGTTTCTGGCGGGTGTTTCTGGCGGGTGTTTCTGAGGGCTGGTGGGTGTTTCTGAGGGCTGGCGGGTGTTTCTGAGGGCTGGCGGGTGTTTCTGAGCGCTAGCGGGTGTTTCTGGCTGGTGTTTCTGACGGCTGGCGGGTGTTTCTGAGAGCTGGCGGGTGTTTCTGACGGCTGGCGGGTGTTTCTGAGGGCTGGCGGGTGTTTCTGACGGCTAGCGGGTGTTTCTGAGGGCTGGCGAGTGTTTCTGACGGCTGGCAGGTGTTTCTGGCGGGTGTTTCTGAGGGCTGGTGGGTGTTTCTGAAGGCTGGCAGGTGTTTCTGGCGGGTGTTTCTGAGGGCTGGTGGGTGTTTCTGAGGGCTGGCGGGTGTTTCTGAGGGCTGGCGGGTGTTTCTGACGGCTGGCAGGTGTTTCTGAGGGCTGGCGGGTGTTTCTGAAGGCTGGCAGGTGTTTCTGGCGGGTGTTTCTGAGGGCTGGTGGGTGTTTCTGAGGGCTGGCGGGTGTTTCTGACGGCTGGCGGGTGTTTCTGAGGGCTGGCGGGTGTTTCTGAGGGCTGGCGGGTGTTTCTGAGGGCTGGCGGGTGTTTCTGAGGGCTGGCGGGTGTTTCTGAGGGCTGGCGGGTGTTTCTGAGGGCTGGCGGGTGTTTCTGAGGGCTGACGGGTGTTTCTGAGGGCTGACGGGTGTTTCTGAGAGCTGGCGGGTGTTTCTGAGGGCTGGCGGGTGTTTCTGAGGGCTGGCGGGTGTTTCTGACGGCTAGCGGGTGTTTCTGAGGGCTGGCGGGTGTTTCTGGCGGCTGGCAGGTGTTTCTGGCGGGTGTTTCTGAGGGCTGGTGGGTGTTTCTGACGGCTGGCAGGTGTTTCTGGCGGGTGTTTCTGAGGGCTGGTGGGTGTTTCTGAGGGCTGGTGGGTGTTTCTGAGGGCTGGCGGGTGTTTCTGAGGGCTGGCGGGTGTTTCTGAGGGTTGGCGGGTGTTTCTGAGGGCTGGCGGGTGTTTCTGAGGGCTGGCGGGTGTTTCTGAGGTCTGGTGGGTGTTTCTGAGGGCTGGCGGGTGTTTCTGAGGGCTGGCGGGTGTTTCTGAGGGCTCGCGGGTGTTTCTGAGGGCTGGCGGGTGTTTCTGAGAGCTGGCGGGTGTTTCTGAGGGCTGGCGGGTGTTTCTGAGGGCTGGCGGGTGTTTCTGTGGGTTGGCGGGTGTTTCTGAGGGCTGGTGGTGTTTCTGAGGGCTGGCGGGTGTTTCTGAGGGCTGGCGGGTGTTTCTGAGGGTTGGCGGGTGTTTCTGAGGGCTGACGGGTGTTTCTGAGGGCTGGCGGGTGTTTCTGAGGGCTGGCGGGTGTTTCTGAGGGCTGGCGGGTGTTTCTGAGGGCTGGCGGGTGTTTCTGAGGGCTGGCGGGTGTTTCTGAGGGCTGGCGGGTGTTTCTGAGGGCTGACGGGTGTTTCTGAGGGCTGACGGGTGTTTCTGAGAGCTGGCGGGTGTTTCTGAGGGCTGGCGGGTGTTTCTGAGGGCTGGCGGGTGTTTCTGAGGGCTGGCGGGTGTTTCTGAGGGCTGGCGGGTGTTTCTGACGGCTGGCAGGTGTTTCTGGCGGGTGTTTCTGAGGGCTGGCGGGTGTTTCTGACGGCTGGCAGGTGTTTCTGGCGGGTGTTTCTGAGGGCTGGTGGGTGTTTCTGAGGGCTGGCGGGTGTTTCTGACGGCTGGCGGGTGTTTCTGACGGCTGGCGGGTGTTTCTGAGGGCTGGCGGGTGTTTCTGAGGGCTGGCGGGTGTTTCTGAGGGCTGGCGGGTGTTTTCTGAGGTCTGGTGGGTGTTTCTGAGGGCTGGCGGGTGTTTCTGAGGGCTGGCGGGTGTTTCTGAGGGCTGACGGGTGTTTCTGAGGGCTGGCGGGTGTTTCTGAGGGCTGGCGGGTGTTTCTGAGGGCTGGCGGGTGTTTCTGAGGGCTGGCGGGTGTTTCTGAGGGCTGGCGGGTGTTTCTGAGGGCTGGCGGGTGTTTCTGACGGCTGGCAGGTGTTTCTGGCGGGTGTTTCTGAGGGCTGGCGGGTGTTTCTGAGGGCTGGCGGGTGTTTCTGAGGGCTGGCGGGTGTTTATGAGGGCTGGCGGGTGTTTCTGAGGGCTGGCGGGTGTTTCTGAGGGCTGGCGGGTGTTTCTGAGGGCTGGCGGGTGTTTCTGAGGGCTGGCGGGTGTTTCTGACGGCTGGCAGGTGTTTCTGGTGGGTGTTTCTGTGGGCTGGCGGGTGTTTCTGAGGGCTGGCAGGTGTTTCTGGCGGGTGTTTCTGAGGGCTGGCGGGTGTTTCTGAGGGCTGGCGGGTGTTTCTGAGGCCTGGCAGGTGTTTCTGAGGGCTGGCGGGTGTTTCTGACGGCTGGCGGGTGTTTCTGAGGGCTGGTGGGTGTTTCTGACGGCTGGCGGGTGTTTCTGAGGGCTGGCGGATGTTTCTGAGGGCTGGCGGGTGTTTCTGAGGGCTCGCAGGTGTTTCTGAGGGCTGGCGGGTGTTTCTGACGGCTGGCAGGTGTTTCTGAGGGCTGGCGGGTGTTTCTGAGGGCTCGCAGGTGTTTCTGAGGGCTTGCTAATATTAGCGAAGATATAACAACAATTTAACAATCGACAAACCATAGGTTCGATCACACGACCTTGGTGAGACCAAACTGTAATATGCAGCGGTTGTACGGTGCCCACATCTCAAGAAACACATCAATAAACTAGAAAAAATGCAAAGATATGCTACCACATGGCTTCCAGAACTGAAAAATATGAGCTACGAAGAGAGCCTTGAGGTGTTACTGATGCCAAAGCTAAAAGATAAAGAGGGGATATGATCACTACATACAAAATAGTAGCAGGAATCTACAAAATTGACAACGAGGAATTCCAGAAACCTGCAATTTAAAGAAAAAAGGTCGAGGATTCATGCTAAGGATACAAAGGTGTTGAAAAAATATTACATAGTTCTCTATTGGAAACAGTGGTAGATGGTTAGAACAAGTTAGGTAGAGGCTAAAACCGTCGGTAGATTAAAAAACGTTATACGACAAAGAGTACTGGGAAGACGGGACACCACGAGCGTAGCTCTAATCCTGTAACTTCACTTAGGTAATTAAACTGATATTTACACGCTCTCTCTCTCTTTCTGTCTCTCTCTATCTCTGTCTCTTTCTCTCTCTGTCTCTCTGTCTCTGTCTCTCTGTCTCTCTGTCTCTCTGTTTCTCTCTCTCTCTCTCTCTCTCTCTCTCTCTCTCTCTCTCTCTCTCTCTCTCTCTCTCTCTCTCTCTCTCTCTCTCCTCTCTCTCTCTCTCTCTCCTCTCTCTCTCTCTCTCTCTCTCTCTCTCTCTCTCTCTCTCTCTCTCTCTCCCCCCCCCCCTCTCGCTCGCTAGATGCTTAAGCACCTCCTGTTGCGTTTCATTAGGTTTTTAATATTTTTAAAATCACCCAAGCAGTGTGGGCTGCAGGTTACCCTGCTAATGTTTCATCCATCAATGTTGCCGGCTGACTTAAATGCTGATATGAAAATATATTATCCTCCT